GCGCAGTATATAATAATATAAACTGCGTTATCGCCGTTGCTGTATTACATTAAAGCGGTGGCGGTAGCGTCGGTTATGTGACAGATTCTAGTGTTTTCGGTATTGGGATGCAGGGTATATGGTGTAGTAGAGTGTATCAGAAGGCCACCAAGGGAAGGAAGTGAGGGACGGCTCGTTGATGTCGAAAGGAAAGGGTTTATATATGTATGTACTATGTATTTTATATACGCTTGGGTCGGTATACTATATAAGGCCGAAGAGTGGTGGCTGTGGAGGTGGGGTGGAGGCGGTGGTGCCGGCGGTACGCGCTGTTTATTGGTGCTGGGGGGCTCATTTCGACGGAAACTTTCATTGTCCAACTTCGACGAACATTTGTCTCGTTACACGGTTTTAGTTTTCGTACAATAATCTTTGTCGTCTGTATACCTCTATACATATATATTTATATAGTTACATTATATATGTATATGTATACACGGGCACCGGTTCTAGAGCAGTGTTTAATATAGCTTTTATGGTCTGTCAGTCTCCGGCAAGTCTCTTAATCGCGTCACGTAAGATCCAATTACGTTTCGGTGGAATCCTCGCCGCTCGACACGCTCAGCGGACGGTACCTAGTTGAAGAAATAGAGAGAGACGATATAATAGGAATAATAATAATTATAAATCGCGTTAAAGAAAATAGCACATACTGCGTATAAATCGTAAGATTCCCTCGACCATGAACGTCATCACCGTCGGCCGACGGTCACCTCCTTTACCACCCACTGCACTATCAGCGATATCATACATAATATGTGCTGACCATGTATTATGTTATATAATATTATCGAACGGTCACTGTATATCAAATTTGTACTGACATCGATGGTCGAGGCTATTCGTCCACCACGAAGACCGAACCGCACTGAAACAAATAATATATTATAACAAAAACGTCGGCATTTCTTCTATTTCCGGCGGTATAAGAAACAAACATAATAATAACGACGATAAAATTAAATCAAAGCTTTAATCCATCTTTCTTTCCAGTCTCGTAAATCTTTTTTTCAGATGTTATTGGTGATGAATCGGCGAAAGGGCCGCGCTTGCGTGGAATGGGAATTGTGGGATGTTAAAAGAAGACCGAAATTCCTTTTTTGAATTATCAGACATAATCTCTATGTCCCCATTTGAATGAGGACCGAGTACTCGAAAAACAATTTAATAAAATAATAATAATATTCTCCATGCGTTTCGTTTAAAAAGCACCAACAAAATAATCTCGGCGTAATCCGAAGATTTATTCTCTGTGAGTCTTAAATCACTGATAACAATTTTAAATCATTACAAAACGCGTGTATATAGTCAAATCTGCAGTTGAACGATTTTTCGAGACGAAATAATGAAATCGGATTTGTCAAACGATAAACAAAATTAAGTGCGTGGTTCTACATCGCAGAATAATATATTAAGCACCTATATTATATACTTGTGCAGTATAAGTACGATGTACCTATATTGTATTGATATTGTACTGAATTATATCGATTTCCTCCACGGAAACGATCGATCACATACATACGTTTGAACTAGTGTATATAGGTATACGACAAACTATTGACATACATTATATCCATTATCCGGTGTAAAATTTTTTCTCGATTTATTTTACCCTCGGCGTGTATATACATGTAATAAAGGATCCTATTAGACGGTAAGAAAAAAAATTATGTTCGTGAACAGACTACCGACTATTGTCAAATTTATCGGGATCCTTAAGGGAACCGAAAGCGTAACGACGTATGTACCACCTCCCCAATCCTTTTGCTGCACAGTGGAACGTAATTCCATCGGAATGTGCGTGGGTTGATTAATTCAAAGACTTTCAACGGTATTTTACCGTTAGCGAAACACGTATATAATATAAATATATATATATATAATATATATATATATCTAAATATAATAATAATAATAATAATAATATGGAAATGCGCCGAATTCTTTTTGCTCCCCCTCCACACACAATTTGATTATCCTTATCCCTTCCCCCGTGCCGGCCCTTACCCCTACACCAATTCACCGTCTTCGTCCTATTCTGGCCATAGCGTATCTTTTCCCGTCACTACTACCTCTACCACCATGCGTGTAAAACAACCATGTGTATCCGGCAAATACTGTCGAACCTTGACTCCATAAATCACCGTACCGGTTGCCTGGGCAACTGCAGCCGCCACGTGTTTCGTCTGGGACGTATATAGGATACGTAAGCGTATTCGTATAATGTATAGTATAGGTGTGTGTGTGTGTGTGTGTGTGTGTGTGTGTGTGTGTGTGTGTGTGTGTGTGTGTGTGTGTGAAGAAATGCGATTTTTCAAAAGGTTTCTTTTTTTTTTTGGTAATAACAGAATTATTCAGAAGATTCGATTTAACTTTGTCACGCGTGTTGCCCCATCAATCTTAACACCTTTGAACCCGTCTGAGATATCAAAATAGACCACCGCCGTCGAAAAACACACGTCGCGCACAGTGTATACGGTTTGACCTGGACGTCTCGTAGAATTTCCGAATCAATTTTCACTGGAGCGCGACAGGGGAATAATGTTTTAAAGAAAAATCCTGCTGCAGATAAGCGTAAAAAATCTGAAACGTCAAAGAAAAAATACAATAATTAGATGTATGATATTATACGCCAACTACGTACAGTGTTTCTTCATTTCTTCAATAATTTAAACAAATCGATTCTCGTTTCTCATTAACGGCATTACAACCAGTGTGGCATTACTACAATGCTAATATATTTAGTACAATTATTTGAAATAATTAATATAATAATATTCGTCATCACTCGTCGTCACTCGGGTATCGCAAAATTGTTTTCATTTCATATTCACATTTAAAAAACTATATTTAATTGATTTTTATCGACTGAAAAATGGATGGTTGGTATTTTGTCATTTTGCTTTAATTTTTTATTCGGTTTGGTTTTGAAGGGATTCTTCAGACTCTATCTTTGTACGCAACTCTGCCACCCAGTATATCTATTATATAATGAATAATAATCAACAACCATTTTTTCGTCGAAACTACTAGCTACCTGGGCTGTTGTCTTTCCATCGAGCTTTATCATTAATGTAGTATATTCCGGTACAAATCCATCCGAATATTTCTGGAATTTGAGTCCAAGCAATTTTGGATTAATATTCTATTCTGTGAAATTTGAAGTTCTCGTCCAGTACATTAAAATTTAGGTGTATCTTGTTTCAAACAGAAATTCTCACTTTAAATAATATTATAAGGAAAATCTTATAGCTGGGTGACAATAGCACAGGTGATGATGGAAGGACAATGTATCTGTGTATACAAATATAAGCGGTATACATTTTTTATTTATATAAAGAGTAGCATCATAACTGTTTAAGCTATATATTTCCCCAGAGACACAACTGACATATTTTATATTATAAAGTAAGAACCATATTCATAAAATAATGATTTGAACATAAATTCTAACAAAAAACATGACACATACCTGTGGTGTGAACTGTGAAGTACACTCACGGTAATCAAAAAAAGCAACCAACTTTTCAATCAAATTTGAAATTTCCATTTAATCGTTTTTATTGGTTCTTTGCTTAATATAGCATATATAGCAATATAGTATATAGTATATTCTATCTGAATCGTATAAAAAACGTTCATTACATTCACGTTTCTATTTGCAGGTATAATTTGTACTATTTATAAGTAAATGAAACCTAATACCTAGTACCTACGTCACTTAAAAATCTTAAATCGGTTTTTTTTATTACTAAAAAATTCTAGTTGAGGAAACGAATATCAAATGTATTACGTTTTTTTAGGTCATGAGTTAACTCGCATCTGGTTAAAAAAAAATAGATCAGTGGACGGTGAGTTGACGCACATACACATATACTCGTCCGTTTTTTCTCTGAAGTAATATAAAACAAGGCAAAATAGCTTTGACGATAATTCATTCTGATTTATTCCTTACGGATTTCGCCGTGGACAAAAGTAATAATAATAATAAGAAAAGTCAGCTGACCACGTAAAGGAAACGACACAGTTCGCTGATTTGCAGTTAAAGAGGGTACCGTACGGGATGGGGCCAAACGAAGCGAAACGGGGGGGAGGAAATAAATGCATTCAGCGAACAGTATATGTGTATACATTATTATAGTACCTATATAGTTTGTTGTATATATAGTATAGAAAGAGAAAGAAATTTGAAAGAAGTTTGTCCTGACGGAATGGGGGACGGTTTAGAAAACGATTCAAAGATTTATAATATATATATATATATATATATATATAGTGAATATATAAAGAAACTCGTACAAAATCGTTCGTCCTTATAAAATGCGATTTTTACAATCGTTTCTCGAATGTAAACAAATTTAATATATTATTATATATACTGAGATTTAGCCATTACTGTGTTTACTAGAAATTATATGCTCGTTTTAACCAATCGCTCGAGTCGTTTGACAATTTAACTGGAATCTAAATTTTAACATACTTGGCTGTTTCTCCCCGCAATATACAGCTAACTGCCTAAAAAATAAATCAATAAAAAATTGAGACATTTCACGTTTTGATCATTTTGATTTCGCCTGCAAATATCTGCATTTAAGTGGAGTAAGAATGCGTTATTTGACATCGTGATTTGACGATTTGTTTTATTTTAATTGATTTAATACCGGTACCCACTACGTCTCTGTATATTCAATTAAATAAAATGTCAACAGCGTGTTTAAATGATAGCAATAATAACCTTACGCCATTAAGTGTAAAGCGGAGAAGTAAATGAGGTGTAAAGTTTTTATATATTATACATATAGCCATATAGGACCAATAATGTACCATACTCCGATTGGCGAGTAAAGGTACCGATAGGTATACTGAAGATTAAAGTTCTTCTCTCAAATCGCTTTTAAACGAAACCCGAGCGCGATTTGTAAACAATTAACTAATTGTATCGTTTTGTTTGTTCGCAGGATGTTGTTTTGTAACATATTATACGAGAAAAGCCGCTCTCGACGCTCAAAATGCTTTGCACAATATCAAGACGCTGCCAGGGGTAAGAATCGATCTCTCTCTAATTATATATATATAATGTTATTTATTTATTTTTAATTCAGCTGTTTATATGAAATTAGTATACTTACACTATGTCACTATACCACTAGAGTATAATTATACTAAATTATTTCTTTTCGATTTCTCTATACCTTCTTCCTCCTCCTCCTCCTACTAACCAAACCATAAGTCTTATTATTTGCTCATCCAACGATTGTGGGTCGGTTTTTTGGCCTTATATATATATTATTATATCGTAACACTACCACGATAGACTGACAAAAACGCTTTAATTACGTCTCTATAATAATATCGCTTCTACAGCTAATTCCGCCGTTTTAAATCAATTAGAGCAAGATTAATGGCGACGCCGCCGGCGGGACGTTTCGATAGCGCGCGCGCCCCCAGTTCGGTGACATTGTTTTTACAAAGCTGGTACAAGACGTCTCGCGGAAACCAGCGGACCGAAACACACAAAAACCGTCGTCGAAACGGCGCAAAAGGGACAAGATAAAAAAAAATCGCTCTCAACACAAAGGAATTTTTCACCGCAGAGCATTTTATAATGATCTCTCCTCGCACACCCTCACCACCACCCCGTGCCATCCACTATACCGACTAACCTTACGCATACTATATATATAATATATATGTATACACCACCGCGTCCACCCATCATGCCACTGCGGACTTTTGCGCACACCTAAACGCGCGAGTAAATCGTTCAGAAAGGGGAAAAATTTAATTTGCATATTATCGCATTATCACGCCGCATACCTATAATGTAGTCGAGAACTTTCGAAATGTAAAAGTATATCACAAGTACATATATTCCAATACTCGTATATAATATAACGTACGTATGGAGGATTTAACCATAATTGTCCACTGATATTACATTTATATTCGAGCATATCGCATATACTTATAAATTCCAGGTGCATCCTGTATGCTTACGCCGTTTAATGATCTTTGTCCTAATTTACCAACCTAATACTATGATGTGGTTATTTTAACAGGCTCATTTTCGTTTCTTCGACATCTGTACTGCAATAATAACGTATATCATAATACTCGATGTAACAACGAGGTTTACTACAGCGCCTAAGGGAAAATAAAATAAAATACAAATATTCAAAACCCACAACTAAAACTAAGACAGTCGAACTTGTTTCTAATAGACGTGGAAAAAAATAGTGAAAATGTAAAATGTATAATACATGATTTTTATAATTTTTTTTTATAATATAACCCGATAATAATATACCTATTATGCAATATTATAAGCTTAGATTTTTTTCATATTTTTAAATACACAAATAACAAATATTATAATCAGCTTCAATATTATTATACTTTTTGACTGTGATTTTGGATAATTTATTTATGAAATCGACGAATAAAACAACAATAAAACATAAAAATACATTTTAACTTTAAATTGCCAATTAAAAAGTATATAATAATATAGTATTATACCTAATATTGTTATCACGAATGAAAACGTTGTGTAATTTATCATATATTTAACTGAATTGCGTATTATTATTTATTTTCATTTGATGTTATATGGCAATACTCAATAAGCACATGAATTTGAATTCAATGTGTTCTACGTCCTTTGAGTTGGTAATAAAAAAAAAAAATAAGTCATTAGTCTTCCACCCACACGACTGAAGTATGTAGCGAGAAGAATGATCACTATAGGCTTCCGAGGGTGAGTTCACGCCTTAAAAGTACGAGGGCTGACGTATTATATAGTGCCATTGAAATCTGAATAAGCCAATGTATAGAAATAAAAACACGACGAGAGTATGTTTGACTCGGTGGAATGGCAAACAATTTACGTTCAATAACGAATCGGTTCCGACCAAAAAAAGTATATTTGGTACAATTTTTATTTTTTACCTAGGTATTATATATAATATAATATATAAACAGCGATAATAGCAATCATTGGAAGTTTAAAAAAAACCTCATATGATAACCTTTTTTTATTTACTGAAAGTCCTCGAGGGCAGTTAATCGATAAGGTACTACGTAAATGATGTGTACCTATATTATTATAACATATATTTGTATCTTGTGTGTGTGTGCGTGAGTGACCACCACTTCATCTATACACCCTAGGTAGACGGTTTCTTTGTACAATAGCGAAATACACTTTTATAATCCATTTAGACTTCATTAAATAAATGTCAATCAAGCTGTAAATTAAGCACGTAAATGTCTAAATGAACAGCTTAATGTGATCAAAGCGCTTTCTGAATTTATATGTTTATTGTAGTCGTATAGGTAAACGAATCTAAAGAGCTTAGCTCAATTTATGGAGACAAGCTATAACGCCAAATGAATTAATATTATTATTGTTATTATTATTATTTCTGGTGAAACATATTAATGTTATGCGTATTTACCGTTGTATCTTTTGTGTTCTATGTTATAATTATTCATTTTAATTCAAAGGCCCCCGGGGTATGTTTTGTATAAACACGGAAAACTGAAAATCCTTTGATAAAACGCGTTAAACAGAATTACTATGACTATTATTATTATTATTTAAGAGTCTAGATTTAATGCCTCAGAGGAAAACGATTAATTAAATATGTATTTAGTCGGTTTAGGCAAACGATTCCAAGATAAATCGCTTATTAATTAATATATAATATTATATAGTTATTTTAAATTATTATCAATGTCGTCGTCGTCACAGCAGTTAAAAAGTATACTACCAACATTTTGTAATTGCTTTTTATTTACGCTTCACCTGCATATTATGTTAGGAGATTATACAAGTATGGGGACGGTCATACAAGACGTGCGTACCGTTGAACATTTGTGTTCAGCAGCTCTCATTTAGCTTAGTATACCCACTATTAAACTTATTTAATATTTACTACAAATTTAAAATGTTCATAACTCGCTTCAAAATAAAGTATCGTTTCCAGTAAAGCACAGACAATGTTGTTACTTTTAAGCTTAACAATAGGTAAATTCAAGCCGGATTTCCAATTATTTAGCGTGTCTAAATGTCTAATATATTAGACTTGTTTAGGTAACATGTTACCAACCTTTTGTTGTCTACATATTAAATATACGAAACACTACACGCTGTAGAGGAGACCCAAAGCTTCACTCTGATATTAAAATTAACGAAGCTAAATTAGAACCGTTGAACATAAATTTGCCATGTTACGAACTTGTAAGACAGTGACAACACGTGCGGGTGAGATGTAATAATTATCTTAATTATTATTATTTGTTTGCTAGGAATGCGATCGCATGCTAAACCTTTATATAGATGTGTTATTGTACAATATGCAATAAAAATGAAATGAAATGAAATTATATTTTCTAAAACTTTTTAACCTTACCAAAATTATCAGGAATAAATAATATTTATTTTTAATAAGTCGTTTTTGGTGAAATACAGTATTAGTATGTAAATTACTTTGGTTAACGGTACGTACCCGACGTCGCGACTTATCATTCCACTTTAAATACGCAATCCTGAACCGTATAATATATGAAATAAAATTATTATTTATTTAAAAAATACTCAAAATACTCAGTCAACTTCCGAATTCTTTTCGCAGAGCTGAGACCATGTCGCAGTGCCTTTCATAATATCCAATCTCCATCTAAATCCTATCCGGAAACGTTCAACGGCATTATTACAATTCTCGTCGTTCTAAAACTTTTTAACTACGAAATTACTCGAGTATATATTATGTATGTAGGTTCAGTTATAGTTATATGTATATATATAACTATAACTGTACCTATATATTGTACATATTATATAGTATATATATGTATGTATATAGTATTTGTGTATGTAAATAAACATTCGGTCTTGGATAACCTTCAGTTTTTTTTTCTTCCTGCATAATAAGTAGCAGAATCCAAACCGAAAGTTTAGCCACAAATTTCATCTTCTATCCTTTTTTTTTTTATTATTATTTCTTTATCCGTTTTCTTTCGTTCTTATTATCCTGTCGCAATTCAATTATTATACCGTCAGTTAGAGTTTTTTCCTTTCTTTTTCCATACATTTTTCGTCCACGTGTGTATACGTTGTATTCCCCAGAGAATCTCAGTTCTCTAGTCCAAGCGCACATGTTACCTAGGTGAATTTTTTTCTAAGTAAAAGAAGAACATATCAGTTCCCCGGAGAAATGTCTATTGGTATTTTTTTTTCTTCTGAAACGGATACCATAAGTAGATTGCAAAAAAGTATAACTATACTAAAATTAATATTTTAATTTATGTGCCATTTTATAATAATATATTATAGCCTATAGGTCCATACCGATAAAGGTGCCGATGTATTTATACCGTCATTCTTTAAACCACAGTAAAGTTCTCACTACAGAATTACCAAAGTATAGGCCAAACGTCTTAATTCATAATAAATTATATTATATAAAATTATATAATTCTACCTCTAGGTACATCGTCGTATTGATTTTTTACGAAACAGCCGATGTATCACGCGCTGTCTGTTCTATTTATGAAAAATATTAAACGACATAGTTTTTTTTTTATCTTTGGCCATTTCGTTCAACCGAAATGCGTATAGTGAGTAGCGACTAATATATAACGTTAGTATATAATATAGATTATAGATAACTAATTCGAAGCTTATTAGTTTAAAAACAAATCTGAAGTGAATAAACACTCAACGAATTTTACACAATGTACATTAATACATTATTCTACCTGTAAAAAGTACAAACAAACGTATGCTTAAATCATACGCACAGTTTCAAATGTCTAATATTATCGCCAATAGATAATTCATTATAATCTAAAGCACTTATAAAGAGCTATACTAGGTACTTATTGTAGTTTATTATCATACTTACCATTTTTTTAATCTCAAATTAAATTATTACGACTCACTCGTTTTAAAGCTTAATTTTTTTAAGAACTTTTCCTATATTATATAACGATGCAATGGCATAATGTTTTTGCTAAAACTATTATCCAATGGTATGTAGGTAATATGTTTAAATGTTTATTTTATAGAATAACTAATTTTCATGATATATATATATACACATGTACACATACAAACATAATATTATAATATCCTTATAATGAACTCCAAACTCGACATAAGAGCTGTATAATATAATTTTTTAAAGCTGATTTGTTTTTTTATCATACCTAACAATTTATTATTCCAACTAAAAGAGGATCTGATAAAAATGAAGCGTTTGTATAGTGTAGTAGGTACATCTCATATTAGCGTTTGTAAATTAAAAAACCTTAAATTATACGGACTTGTATGAACGCTGAAAACACAAATTATTAATTAACTGTAATAATATTTGAATAGCATTTTATCATGTTGAAACGGATAAGTCAAACATGAAATATACAATGTAGTATAAAGGTACCTATATACTTTAACATGTACCTAGTTAACCACATAAAGTTAAGCAATTTAAAAAAAAAGTACTACGTCAGTGTACAACAGTACGTTAAACCATTAAATTGTATTTTTATAACCTAAGAAATTGTGTATAATATTAAAGTAGTTAGATAATTTTAATACAATAAATTATCAATCGCAATTTACAGAGCCACTATATTACTATTCTCAATTAACCTTCGTTTATACTTTAAAGGAATGTACTTATATAAGTAGTATATAGGTACTGACGTACTATCAGATTTTGAATGGAGGCTTTTCATTAAATATTGTATATTTCAATGTAATGTACTATACTTAACACTTGGCCCATATGGGTGTTTATAATGTAAATAATAAATAAATTACCTATGTCAACATATTAGACTGTATAGGTGCATTTAATGTGTATATACTTCAATAGCGTAATCTTGCTCAAATCATACTACTAATTACCTCTAATGTATTTTTTACAATTATTGTCCTAAAAGCTAAAATGATAATATTCTATATCCCCGGTTATGAATTATGATAATGTTGCGTATAATATTAAGATAATTTGAAAAAGAATTTTCAACACTCGAATAGATACAATGCTATGGTATTAAAATTATGAAACAGTTTATCAAATCATTCATGCGTATAACTTTAACACGAGCTAAGATCGATAGATTTAACTGAAAACTTAATTTAAAAAAAACAAAATCGCAATCGTGAGTTATAACTGCAAGATTAAGTCGTTAGTGAACAGTGAGTGAGAGGAAAAGAATCGAATTAAATGTTGTTTTTTTCATTCAAAAATATTTCACTCGTCAATCAAAATACCTGAACCCCTCCCATACCAATAAAATATATAGAATTGAGATTAACAGATTTTACCCTCTAAAGGTGTTTTTTTAATCCAGGACATCAATGAACAGGAATACAATGGTGATATAGGGTGTTTATCTATTCAGGTATTGGTCTACAACAAAAAAATAAATACGAAGATCATTTATACAAGTACATAAAGAGGTCTTTGTTTATATATATAGATATGTATTATGTATATACATATCTATACATAGAGAGATCACTAAAGGCATTCCAAGCAACGTTGGTCCATCTGTGGACGACTTTTCTCCATTTATAGGCTAGTACTTATCTGCGAATCATATGGGTACGCGTTCGTTATTTTGATCCCGGTTAAGCGAGCCGTGATGGATTCCGAATCACACTTAAACTATTAAGGTCACAGAATTTATGAAATTTATTTATTTTGTGGTGCAGTCGTCGTTGGTTGCAAACGATATTTCCCATTTAACTATTCATATAATCCCTAACAATAAAACAATATTATTTCATGATCTATATAATGCCAAAGTAGGCTTACTTGTTCATTTTTGGCAATACTCGTATGATACCTGATAGCTGTTAGTACGATACCATGGTAGAGTAAGATCCGCCGCACAAACAAGCATGCATAAAGTATTAACATATACCCTTTGCCATTTAAATCAATGTGAAAACAATGTAAAACAATTCGATCGAGGTCATTGGAAAACTACAAGAAAAAAATAGGCCCTCTGTCCACCTCGTATTTCCACACGCACCGTTGTTGCCTATAGTCGTACCTATGCATAGTCGAGAGTATCGATTTTATTTTATTATTATTATTATTAATAATAATAATAATAGGTAGGCACCTACAGTAGGTATACGTCACGCGGCGTCTGTTTTCGCCGTCCTACGACGGTCTGAATGTAATATAATTTATTCACTTTCATCATTTTTTAACGTACACATCCTTTGATACGATTCGACAGCTAAAAGTGATTCGGCATGTTACGACAATTGTACAAAACAATACAATCGATCGACGATTTATTCGCTTCGATTATTATCGATTTTGCGGTGTACCTATAAAATAAATTGTATACAACACATTATACTTTGTAGTATTGTACATTATATTATTATGCGAAAATAATGCCTACCTAGGAAACCCTGTCGAATAATATATAGGACGTGATGCCCGTCCGCGGCCTGTAATCACATTAAAAAACTAAAACTATGTCCTCGCGGAGAGTTAATAACCGTAAATTATATTATAATATTATATTATACACATTACCAACATCATCTATTCAATACACGTATTACATAATAATGTATAATATAGATACAATAATGTATAATATAGATACATAATATTGAGCGATAGTATTAATATCTGCTATCAAACCCCATTTCTGTTTATCTTTTCTGCCTAAAAACTAAATGGTGTTAAGTCGTTTCATTCGCATATTACATTTGATACGTAAAACTTTATTTAAATCGTATCAAGTACTAATGTTACTGTCTCCAATATTTACTGTCTTTTGAATTAGATGTTTGACAAATAATGAGATACAATTAATAAAAATTGTATTTTTTTTTTATAGATGCACCACCCGATACAAATGAAGCCCGCTGACAGTGAAAATCGAAGTGGTGAGTACCTTTATATACATTGGAAATCGTTTAGAACTGAAGGGAGGGAGGGGGAAACGTCACTGGTAAACCAATATGTACATGACTTATCACGTTAAATTATAATAAATAATTATTTTTTTTTTTTTTATTGATCTTAAGCTTCGGCAACTGAGGCCATTAGCTGTAGTAGGATTTGTATTGTATATTTTGGGACGGTAGGGGGGAACACGTGTGTGTTTGTTTTTGGCAGAATTTCGAATGGGGCACCCGTAGGTTTCTGCCATGCCCCGGGGGTGGGGGATGGCAGCACTTGTTCTCCGGTCACCGCGACTTGTCCGGAGAAAAATGCCGCCCGGTAGCCGAGGATCGAACCGCGACCGGCTGCGTCGCAGCGGACGCGGCAGACCACTCGGTCACCTCATCCCCCAAAATAATTATTTGTCGATTCTATTTTTTGCCAATGTTTATTTTCACTGTCACCTTATTGAATTCAACCCCTACTGCAATATTGTCGTCCTTCGTCGCTTCGTATACACAGGCGTGAATTCAATCACTGAATCCGAGAAAACGTTTCCGATTCCGAAAATATACTCGATAAACATAATTATAATTCACCCTATCCGCGTCGTGTATAGAAAACCAACGATAACTACGGTGTGTCGGAGTCATATTATATTATTGATAAGCGATCGACATTTCCATACCTTTCCCCCGCTGTAGAATGAATCGGCGCAAATATAACGGTATGGTGGTGGTTTGCAAACAGTATGCAAAACGCAAATACTAGCAGTAAAATAACACTTGAAAAAACTGACATGCCTATTGTAATATACGTATATAGTGTGACCGAAATGACCGTATTATAAAACATTACCGGAGTAATAATAAATGATGCCGAGTTTGGGGAGGATATAAAAACACACGATGGACTCCAGAAATAATGATTTAAATGCGGTTTTGAATTCGAAATAAAATTATGGCCCGTCGTCGTCTTGCTCTTAGATGCGCATAATATTCCCGTGCCCTCGAAAACGGCTTTATTCTGAACGATAATTAATGTATCTCTCCGTGAACCCGCGGGGCTGTTGCCGTCTCATCGGAGTCTGTTTCCGGAGATTTATGTTGTATCCGTTTTGCTAACGCGTACCTACCAGTATCATGGCCGTTCACAATGACGATGAGTCAACTCTGTTAAATCGTTAGTACGGGATAACGGAGGAGTTCGTTCCACTTCGCAAGACGTTTGTCAATTTCGAAAAAAAAATCCGTTTCAGATCGCAAGACGAATAATAAGCAGAATCTAATATTCCACACGATTTTTCACACATTGATGTTGGTTATTGTCGATTGTAATGGTATAATCTATGCAATTATTGCAGATTGGAAGGGTAGTCTTAAAAATATCAAATGCAAAACCACCTGTACATCCGTCATCCCATGTAATGTAGATATTATATTATTCAGATGCGACAAAATTATGGTACTATATTTTTATATACCAACTACCAAGGCTGTATAAATTAAGTCGTGAATTGTTCCATACCCAATATTATTTAACTTTTATTTTTTCATAAAGGTTCATTAGTAGAAGTTATTCGATTAGAGTGATATTTAAACAAACGATTAGGAAAGTTGTATGATTTAGTTGTTTATGATTAATTTTGCTTAAGATATTTTAAGAATACGATTTCTTATGGGGCTATAAATTTAAAAAAAAACACATTTCCAAAAAGCATAGTATTTACATTGTTAGTAGTATCTACATATATTAAAACATTTTTACATTTTTAATACATCATGGAATATTTGAATAGTATTTTATTAACCCTTTTATGGCCTAGACTAAGATTTAAGAAGTTTTACAAATAACAAATTACACCAACCAATGTAAATATAATTCACAATAACTTATGTTCAGGTGTCCCTGCAATGTGCTCCTTTTTCACTAATTTTCACGTCACATGTCACAAATATTACTGTCTTCAAATTTACTTATTTATTATATAACACAGTATAGTTTGCAAAGAACAATATTTTAACTTGTTGGCTATCAGAACCATTTTCAAGAAACTATAATTTACCAATAAATAACCTAACCTCGAGAGAAATTTCAAATAACTTTCTCAGTGTACCACGTAGATTTATTATAAGAATAATTATATTCGTTTTAAACCAGTTTTTTAAAAAAGTACCACCCTTTATGTAAAGGTAAGCAATATCAGGTAATGTTTAAAAAAAATATATTTGCTATTTTCAATTTGTTTGCAATTTTAAACCATTTCGTTTTTTTTAAATTTCTACCAATCAACAATAAATGATGCCTCTAAACATGGTGAAATACTGTATTAACAGCGTAAATGATCACTTTTTGCCTATTTAAAAAGCCAGAGATTTATAAATAATCCATCGAAAATTTAAGTAGATAAACTAAAATAGATATTAATTTTTTCAATGTCTATCTGCACAAAAAAAACGTATTTGAATAATATGTTTTCACGGAGTGATCGACTCAACGCATCAAAATCACTATTAATGAGGCGCTCAAAGCGTTCAATCGTTAAATCAATCACCCTGTATAGTTAGGACACCGTAATACAAACAAAAACAGATTAATTTATACTTCTGAATATCTGAATATCTGAATATCTGAATACGATATTATTGATATTATTATCTTTGCCTTCATTTTAATTATTATATATTAATAATGAATACTAAATATCACAAGCGACACTTTTAATTAATTTTCACATTGACTTGTGTAATTCAAATTATAATAAAAGTTAAGAAAAAATATTTAATCAACAAAACAGTGAACATAATGAAGTTATTCAGAACTAAATTCTTTTGAATTAATTATTTGTCGTTATTATTATTATTATTAGTAGTAGTAGTAGCAGTAGTATTGATAACGCTTATATGTTTTCCACTTTTCACGCATTACAACTATACACACCGATATCACTGTACAAGATAGTAAATATAAATAATAATTATTATAATACCTACTTTCAAATTTAATATTAATAAAAAAAAATCTTAAATATTTTACCTAATATAAATATTGATATACTATGTATAGTAATGCGTTATGTAAATTGTAATACTTTTTTAAATATTACATTGATCATAATAGCATCAGATCTACACACCATTTTTCACTATTTTTTGTGCCTTGTAACAGGTCAATAAAAGTGAGCTTTTAATAAGTTAAAAATAAGCTATTTTAACCCATAATTACTTGACATAGGTATTGTAGACTGTAGTTTTGCAACTTAAAACATGATGTGTAAATACAAACCTAATATCTGGATTCTAGGGGTTGATAAAAACCCCTTAAGTGAAACGGTACTTTCATAGTTCTATCGTGTATGATATATAATATACCTATATTATTTTTTAATGAGAACATTAAATTAATCGTTTAAAATCAATGTAGGGTGACATGCAAACCTATTTATTAAACGTCACTTATAATACTAATTACAAATTACAATATTATAATAAATATATTATAAAAAACATAATTGGAATGAAATGATAACTACTTTTATTAGGAGACAGCTTTTATTCTATCCTTTTGGTTCATTTTAACATCAATAAGACATCATAATTCATAACGCGCACATTGTCAAACAATTATTTTGTTTAGTACTACAAGGATACAGGTCTTTCTTTAACTATTTTCATAACCTTGTTATTATTGTTTTTCAGTAAAACCCAGCGGGCGGCAATAAAAGGTCTATATTTGATAAGCATCCATTCTTGTATATTTAATAAAATCTTAAAATCCTCAAAGTTTTCAAAACAAAAAAAAATATTTGTTTATTTTCCCGGAAACTTTTTGATTCCCTTGCTTATTTAATTTGTTCGCAATTTGATTAGTTGGTTTATTTTACTCATCATCGTTTGGCTTCTCATTCGATTAAAAGTGTATCGTCAATAAATAATACTAAGAAGCGTCTCGAATCAACATTTTTAAACAAACTATTACTTACAACCGTACAACGACATTATGTTTCCATGTCCACTTTTAAATTACATTTTATTTGTTTTTCCAATAATTGATGTCATTGACGATGACAAATATTTCACAACAAAAGGCTAAATGGTAAAATACGTTATACAACTGAATACAATTTTGTAGATTAATTGTAAGTGATGGGCGAAAAAATTAAAGTTTTCTCTTGATTATTTTATACAGGTGTTGTAAAATAATATATTAAATTCAAATCGAATTATTCTCAATTAACTTGCACGATGTAACACAATATTAAATCATGTGTTATTTAATCGTGTTGGCATTATTGACGTTATTCTATCAATAAAATAACATGTTTTAATTCTGATTCAACTAAATAATATAATAAGAACTCTCTATTAAAATGTGAACCGGCATTATAATAATATATTATATTAGTGATTTCCAAACAGATTATTTTTGCAGGCAATATCATAAATAAATTAATATAAATACATAACGGATAACTGAACTGTTTTGACTTGACCGTTATAAAACTGTTCAGTGAACAATAAATTCCCACAAACGTATGCAAACACTTGAAAAAATTTAAAATGTGAAAAGTGAAATTAAAAATAGTGAGTACCTACTCCTACTGATACATTTTGTAATCCGGAGTATATAAATATTTCATCGACGATCTTTATAAGAGATGGGTTATAATATTTTGTCCAATGATAATGATTATAATAATAACTCCGTATCTTTTTTTTTCAAACATAAAATGTCGTCCCGAAAATGGTTGTTTGTGACTTCCGAAAGGTCGTTACACGGTTCGTTTGAACGTTATCGGATTCAATAATATTATAATGTATGTATAATATAATATAAGTCTGCCGTACCATTATGAGCCGTATGTATGTCCCTGGAATTATGGATCATAATATCCGAAGCTAAATTTAATTCTCTTGGTAATGGGGTTCTAAACTGTGGAAAAACGGGGCCAGCCCTACGGGACACACGCGCCCGCCGTGAATTTATTATCCGAGTATTATGA